GGCAGGGAGACCAGCTGTCCTCCCAGCTCTACAGAAACAAGCAGGTAAAGGCTCCGCGCCCCCAGCAGCCTCGGTTTCTCCCCCCGAGGTTCCTGAACTTTGTATCATGTATCGCACCTTCTGGGTTGGTTTATGGCACGTCTCCCTCTCACTGGCATGGATGTGGGAAACGGGGGCAAACCGATTTATTTGAGTGGTTTTTGTTCCTTGCTTGAAGTATTTGTCTCCCCCATGTTGTCCCGTGAAGCTGGAACAACTGTTGTGGGGTTCCCTATTGATCTCTCCCCTCTTACAGCGTATTGCACCAGCTGCCTCGGTGCTAGAGAAGACCAGGAGCATGACCAGAGAGTCTCTTAGGCTCTGATGATGCAGAGCCTCATGCTGTTGACTAAAAATACATAGTGTGTGTCCTGAGTCCACCAGGATTAACGTCATGAGCACTGATTCCACCAGAATTTCCTACTTATATGGAGGATGAACCATTTTGACCAACAAGCATCTCCTTGTTACTTTATTTTCTCTCTTCTTTCCTTTTTTGTAAATCCCATCAAAGGGGCAGGAGGAACTCTGAACAGTCTAGATGAAGGAGCCCCAAACAGATCACTCTGATCAAATACTTGGAATGATATTTTGACACAGTGAAGTCGATGGAAATTCATTTACTAACTTCAAGGTCCCTGGAATCAAACCCTAGTTCCAGACATCAGTGTACTCTTCTTTCTTTGGCTCTACCTCAATCATTTAAATCTGTGCTTTTCAGCCTATGGTCAGCAGATGCCCGGGGTCCTTGGCAGAAGGTCCTTTGTCCTCCTAAAGGAGTCCCCAGAGCTATGATCAGGAGGCAAAAATCTCTCTACAAATATGTAGATTTCCCATGAAAAGTGTTAGGCGTCTGCAAATCAAAACATACCTCTTCAGCTCTTGGGACCCATGATTATCTCAGCTCTGTATATGTACTGGGACTGGCACAGTAGGGTCCAGGATTGAGCGGATCACTGAGTACTACTGTATCATAAAGAATGGCAGCTGCATCTTCCTTTTGCATTCTACCCCCATAAATTGTTAGCCTACAGCTCCACCGTCTCCTTTTCCCCACCAGCCACCTATAAATGGGAATGAGAGGGGTGCAAAGGGATGCTTACTGCCGCTTCTGGAGGAGATCTGGCAGCTGCTGTCATGGCCATGAAGGTTTCTGGTTATTCACAGGGCTACCTGTAATTCTTTTCTGTTATTATTCCACAGTTACAAGTTTTTTCAGAGTAATCTTCTCAAACACTCGCTAAAGAATAAAGGAAGTCAAAAGTGAAAACTGAACAGTCATGCCACTTAGACTTACAGAGGCAAGAGGCTGGAGGGGGTGGGTTGAGTTCACAAAGCAAACACCCAGATCATCAAATCCAAGCAGCCTGTACCATAGGGCAATTGCTATTAAGTTACAGAGTCAACATCTATTCATCAATATCTCTTTTCCACAGCTTCAAGATACTTTGCTTCAGAAGGAAGAGGAACTTGCTAGGTTACATGAAGAAAATAATAACCTCCGACAATACCTGAATTCTGCCCTGATTAAGTGTTTAGAAGAAAAAGCCAAGGTATTGTGTTCAAACCTGTTGTATACCTGTTGTATAGACGTGTGCAGAAGAAATGTGTTGAATAGGTACATGCCATTAAAATACGTGGAAAGTCTAAGGATGTAGACAACCTATTTAACGTCACAGAGCTTCCGAATTGCTGGTCATTGGTCTAAGGTGACCGTTTCCCCCAGGAATGACATCCTATCAGGTTCTGACTGTGGAGACAGTATAGCCCATGGCATAATTAAGTTTAGTTTATAAGTAAGTTAGCTATAAGTAAGTTAAGTTTACAAGCAAGGTAAAATTATTCCATCTAAAGCTTTTTTCAGTGAAAAGTTCAAATTTGAACATATATTTCTTGAATGTGTCTGTTTTGACAATTGTCCTTTTGATAAGGATTAATTTTTCCTTTTTTTATGTTTTGGGTGCTTTCTGTTTTATGTTTTGTTTTGTCACCTTCCAATGATACGTTTTATTCATTTACATTAGAAATACTGATCTAATTTTTTTCAAATTTACTAATTAAAAAGTTGTGTGGTTTTTTTAAAGGTGAAATACAAAATTAAACACTTCAGTGTTGGATGAAACATTCTGTTAAACTAAATGTAAAGTTTTTTTTTTAATTAAATATTTTGATTCCCTGTCTCCCTTCCAAAATAAAGATAATTGTTTCTTGTTGACTTAAGGACATTTTTTTACTATTCCAGATTTGCCCGTGAAACCAAACTATTAATTATTTGCTCAGCTCTGTGGATTGGGCATGAGGTAAAAAGGCCTGTAAAAAATAGCAGAGTTTCCTTTTACATCCTATTCAGAGTTGACAGTGTGGCATGTCCCCCCTCCCATGCCAAGACCTGGCTTCTGGCAGTAGAAAAGGTCTCCTTCAATGGGCACAGCAGGGAGACATGGCCACCCATCTATGTCACATGGAGGAGAGTCCAGTGTGAAACTGCAACGAGAGGTGGCTGAGCAGTGAATTCATGACGTGGTGGGGAGCTTCCTTGTTATTCCTCCCTTTATTTGACCATCCCTGGATGCCTGAAGGGCTCTTGTCCTGGGATGATGGCAACTGAGGTGGATTAATGAGCTCAAAGCCGCTCAAGTCTGCGGCTCCAAGCTCCGCCTGGCCAGGATCACACCTGCCCCAGTATGACTTACCTTCACATCCTCCCTCTTTGTCAGGCTGCCACATTCTCCCCCATACCCCACTCACCTGCCAAATGCTGCTGGCAGCATCAGCACAGAGGAGTGCCGTACAGCCAGGCAGGAGCTCTCATTTCACGCCGTACTGAGTGAGAATGCGATCAAAGCACAGGCTTTATTGACATTGTCAAATTCCTCTCATTCAGGGACTAGGTTGTTGCAGAGGTTGTAAAGATACAAAATAGTTAAGCATATCCATACGTTTAAGCACAGGGTGAAAGAAAAAGTATCTTTCATAAGGACAGTAGTAACCATCTTGCCCATCTAAAATCTGAGATCAGAAACATGTTGCTTCCAGGTAACTAGAAATTCAGATTTTAATCTTTTCTCTCCACCTTATTTGTTTTTTTTTATAGAAACTGCTATCCTGCCATGGCCAAAAAACCTGTGCTATTCTCAAAAGCACCAAGAGGAGATTAAAAGAGGACCACTGCTTTGTTCCTCAAGAAACTCCTCATGCTTCCAAAGCTAGAAGGAACCTCTTTAATGAATTCACTGCCTGTGAAGAACAAGCCAGCCCTGCTGTGGACAGCTGGGTCTTGCAGACTTTAGGATTAAAAGATGTCAACACCATTGATGAAACTTCAGCTAACTACAGTGCCCTGCCCTCAGACCTTGGAAAAGACACATACTGCCTGAGCCCTGGTGAAGCAGTAGACTATGACCACAGTGAAGGAGCGCCAGCAGTGTATAGCTGCAGCCATGTGCCTCCAGCTAACAGCAGTACCCATCCATGCAGTGGGGACCCTCCCTTCCTCCCTCAGTTTTCTTCAGCACCATGTGTCTCCTCAACAGTGCCAAGCGTTTCCTCCCTCCCAGCCTATGGGTTGCCTTATTTGACTGGCGATTTGTCACCCAACAAAACAGAAGTGGCCTTCACAACATCTCTAAGTCCTCACCGCAATGTGAAAACGCACACCTTCCACCAAGGACAAGCCTTCGTGCGCAGGGATGATGATGGAGGATGGAGATTCACCTGGGTGCCCAAGCAGGCTGAATAATGCACCTGCATCAAGGGTCAGCCATAGGGGATGTAGGAGACAGACACTTCATCTGGTGCTTGAGACAGGTTCAGGCATCAAAAATGAGCCCTTTGTTAAATGCTACTCTGTCACCTACCCACTACTCCTTCCCTCCCAGATTTTCACAGGCGTGGCTCCAGACTGCACTTCGACAATTATCTGCCCCAGGCCAGATGTACAAATTGGATCCACCTCTTTTGTGCCTGTGTTGAGATACCTGCTTTTACTTCCTTCATGGTTTTTCTACTATGATCTATTCCTTGTTAAGTGGTAGTTTCCAGGCTGGAGTGCTTTCAGCTTTGATGATCGCTCCCACATACACCAAACTGGAAAGCATTTTGGGAATACAGTCTGGAAATAGCACATCTCTCACAGATATCCACAGATTACAAAGGAGCATAGGTGGGAGGCTGAGGATCAGCAGTTTCTAAGTGATTTGTGTCTCTCTTGGCTACGCAGATTGCCTTGGATTAAGGCAACCATGGGTATTTGGTAATGTGCTACACTAGACTGACCTACCTGCGGTCACGTGGTGCTGTCATACTCTTTGATGATGCCTCAAAATAAACAGGATTTGCTTCTATTGCCTGGAGGCTACTTAATTACAAGTGATTTAGCAAATTCAGGGGATTTTAAGATTCTAATGTGTTTACTACACTGTGTTTTAAAGGTATTTTCTCTGTTCCTTGCAACAGGAGCTAGAATTGGAGATGCTGTAATGACACTGCCATCACCAGCCAAGGCCCTGGCCCAATATATTAGTGGCAGAAATTTTCTCACCTGTAGGTAATGTACACTCAGAGCACTTGTTTCTTCTGCAAAGGATGCCTTTCCCCTTGCCTGCAGCATCCCACTAGCCTTTTGATGGATTTTTTCCACATTTACCTGCCTGATGTTGGAAGCCCTTATAAAAGGGAGCCACTCCTGGCTTCATAAGCAATTTCTGTTTCTTCGGTGGGGCTTTTTTGCAACGTCAAGAGCTGGACTCGTGAAACTGGAGATTTTCTTTCTAGGGAACAACTTCTTGACATCTTTGTCCTGATCTCTGAGAGCACACACAGATTTATCTGCAATCAACATCAGCTGAATCAGGGCTGCTTCCTCCTCCTCCCCTAACCCCATGCTTCCTATGGGAAATGTTTCTCCTGGTTTGGGGAGGCAGCATCACTTAGTGGTTAGAGTGAGTCTTTGGGAACGACAACCTTCAACACCAGCTCTTGCCTCTCCATGTCTCTGCCAGGTAGTGGTGGGCTGAAGCTATGATCATCACTATCTTGAGAATGCTTTAAAAATCTCTGGAGAGAAGGTGCTCTAGCACTGTACAGGACTTTTAGTAACACTACTAATGATGTGAAGTCAACTGACATGAAGTAAGCTCGCCAGTAATTTTCTGTGTTACCTTTGTTTTCTGCTTTACAGTAGTTTGATGCCTAAGTATTGGAAATAGTGTGATTTGGTTATTCTTGCTTTCAGAATGGTCCAGTGACTTTAAGGAAGTACTTGCATACATAAAAATAACTCTGTGTGAGGATTTCCATCTAGAGGCTTATTTTCCTACAGAAAACTGGATATTCTTTTATTTTTAGAGGGTAAAAATATCTCCTAAATAGGCTCTTGTGCATTAGAATTGCAGTATTTGGGATTGTCCATCAGGAGCAGTAGTGATTTCCCAGAAGACTTTTAAATAAGCAAACTCTGTATTTCTGGATAGTTGCTTTAAAGGCATAGGGCAGACTTCCAGAATAGGCAATTTGAAAGCATTTATTGTAGGCATAATTGCAGTGGATTTAAAAAGGAAAAAAACAAAACAAAAACCCAAACAAACCAAAACAAACCAAAAAACCCAACAAAAAAACCCAAAACAAAAAATGCACATGGAATAAATACAAATATTTGTTTGGGGGTTTTGTTGTAGTCGGTAAAAATGTGGCCGGCTGATGAAGACTAGTCAGACAAGACCACTGTTTCTATAGCAGTTTTCACTTTTCAATGAAAGCAGAAGAAAAATCTTGTCCTACAAACAACTCATTTCTTTCTCAAGGCTTTTCTTGTCTATTAATCTTCTCTTGCCCTACTATATAAGGTAGCATTGAAGAAAATACTCCCATCACTGGAGTTTTTATTAGTGCGTGTGGTAGTGTAGAAAATGCCTGACCTGAACACAAATATGTGGTGGGAGACCCTGGTATGTGTGGTGCGGGGGATGAACAGCATGCTGGGAATAGACAGTGGCCAGAGGACTGCACCCAAAGCAGCTGTAGATGCCACATCTTTCAAAGCAGCTGTAAAACATAAGTAGAGAAAGATCTGTCTACATTTTCTAACACTATTGAATGCTATTACTTATGTATTTCAATGCTATGGAATCAGCAGCAGTAATAAGTACATTTGTCCTGTCAGCAAATATTAAATCTTTTTTTTTCTCTAGAAAGAGAAAAAGCTTTCCACCTGTTTGACATCTCCTTTCCACATTTTTATATCACTGCGTGTGAGAACTACTCCTGCAGAAAGCCAGAACAAAAGTGTCAGATCTTTGGTACAATCTCGAAGTAGGTTTTCCGTAGGAACAAACTGATGCTTGAACCTTTGCCAGCCGTTTGAAAAAGGGTGACTGGCCCCTTGTCTCATAGCAAATAAATTATAGATGTAAGTGAATAGCTCAATGAATAATTTACCTGAATGAATCCCCTTCTTTTCCTGTGGGCTCCTGAATTTTACTCAGCATAAAGGTATTGAGTCCTGTGGCAGGGATTTCTGTCTGAGCCTGGCTTACTGGAGCTCATTTGGGTAGAGGACCCCATGATAGGACCAGCTCCTATCAGCTGATGGGTGCTCCTGACTTGCACATGCAAACTTAAAATTCTGGTTTAGACAACTGCTTGAGCAAAGGTCTCTGTGTTAATAATGATGCTGATCACTGTAGTGAATGGAGCACACTGGAAAGGAAACAGAAAAATCTCCAAACCATTTTAGCAAAAAACTAAGGGTGATTTATTTTTCCCCGACAGCATCATTTGAACTAGTATTTCCTGGGTTATCACCAAGAACAATAGAAACAAGCTACTCTTCTGCTTTTTTGTTTCTCTGTAATACTCCCGCTGAGTTCAGTGGTGCAATTCTCATTGAGGACGAGTCCCAGTAACCGAACCGTTCCTTTAGATAAATGTTGCTCCTATTGCCAAAAGAAAGCCTTTACTCAGCATACCTCACTCTAAACTGCCTGGTTCCTCTGAAAATTCATGCAGGTATAATAGATGTGGAAAATGAGTAGGAGATTGAAGACATCTTATGGCAGATTACTGTCAAATGGTGGGATATGGGGGATGGTTACTGACTCGGCTGGTGCTGGTTTGGCCAGCTGTGTCCACATGACTTTCTTGGGCCTGAAAGCAATAAAGCTGCATTAACACAGTGCTGCTTCTAGCTTATTTGCTTTTACCTTGTGGTAGGGCTCATGACCTTAGGTGCAGGCTGCGGCTGGAACAGCAACACTGCTACTAACATGATACTAGTGAAGCTGAATCTAGCTCCGTCGTGTGTAGGCGCCCAGTGTTAGATTGAACTTGTAAAAATCAGCCACAGAAATGGAGCCTAACACACCATCTTTTTTCTTCATGAGATAAAATTCTGGAAATGCTTATTTGCTTTTAATTACTGTCTGGTTTGCATCACAGTTCTTTGGCCTGCAAAGACGTGGGAGAGAAGGTCTTGCCTGTACAAAGCTTAGACCAGGTTTTGAGATGGGGTTTCAGTCCTGGTTTGTGCCTGATGCTGCCTGTTTGCCCTTTTGTATCCATTCCCAGGGGGTGAAACAGAGCCAGAGCCACCCTGCTACTCATGGAAAGTGCAAGGTAAAGCCCAGGGAAGCCTGTGACACATCCCTATGCCATAGAGGTAGCTAGAGATCAATAGGAATGAAAGCAAAAAGTGGAAACAAAATCCAGTTCTTCGCACAGCCATCACAACTAGGTAGCCAGGAGATAGCAGAGATGAAAAGTTTCAGCTTGGTACTGTACTTGTAACTTCAAAAACAAATCCGGCAGCTGGAATAGAGGAGCAAGAGACAGAAGTTCTGGGTTCTGATATTGTCTGTGGTATCACACTTTGTTTCTGTGCTTTGGTTTCCATGGAATCTACCACTGGACCACTTCATAGCAATTTAACAAGAAAATATGATTCTTGCTGCTGCAAACTGCATGAGAAGTTCCCTCTTGCCAAGGATCTGTACCAGGCACATATACCTCCGGGGTAGGGAAGGATGACTTGAAAGGCCCAGGGGCCCTGGAAGGTTCTTTAGGCAGTGGTGAACTTCATTGTCTGTAAATATCCATTTTGTATTAACATATTTGTTTTATTTTTTTATTTGAAGTTTGTTTGCTTTATTATGTAAATGTAACATGTGCAGCTGCACACTTTAAAACAATCCATGTTTTTAGAAAGGTATGCTAATAGAAGTGGAAGTTAAATTAACACTTAATATGTTGATGTTCATGATTTTTGTGATTGAAAAAGGCCATGATTTTATGTAAATGTCAATTTTACCAGTGTCATTAAGTTATGTCTAATAAAACTTAACATCTAATTGATGCGATTCTTTCTGCCAACTTCAGCTGTTGCTCACACTGCACAGCACCATACCTAGCACCTACACACCTCTGCAGAGGACTGAAAAGGATCTTTATTTCCTGCAAGCACAAGTGTCCACACAAGGAGGTGCAATTTTTGATCATAATATAACAGAGGTGAAGATGTAACAGCCACAGGTATGCTCATTTCAGTCAGGCTTGCACAGCATATTGCAGTGATCCATTATTGTTTTAACTCAGAAATAGATTCCATGCTACAAACTGACTAGGACAGAAGGAAGTATTGTGCTTTTCTTCTGTTATTTTTGCAGCATCAGGCTCTCTCACTTAATAGACTTATACTTTCCTAGGCAGCTGAGCATCCTGATCTAGGGCAACCTGATTCATCATAGT